TATTCAAGTTTTTATTAATTTATTATTGTAACGTGAAATTATAAAAAAAAATCGAATATATTTGTGTAAATGGTTAATTATATCTTTGTGAAAGGGATAAAATATATTATTACTTATACATATAGCAAGTAGAATTTCCCAGTTACATTTGCAATATTTATAATTGATAGACTTATTACAATTTATACTCTCAAAATATTGTAATTTTCTAGAATTTCATTACAATATACTTTTCTTTATCTATAATTTTTGCTTGTAGCTAGCGTCTAATGATTTTAATCGCGTATTTAAGCACGTCTTACGTAAATAAAAGACGAGCCACAGTCTGATTTCTCATTCGTAGATTTCTCTTCCCTTCTCTAACGCATCAAGTTCATTCACCTATGTGTGATTTCATTTTAAATCTGCACAGATTTAACATCACTTTGACATATTTTCAAGGCCTGACCAAATACAAATGTGTTACGCGACAAACAATAAAAAAATTTTTAATTAATTTTTATATTAATCCCTATTTTTTATTAATTTTTACTGGTATTTTTAATGTTCAAAGATCAAATATATTATATCTTATTTTATATTAATATATTATATCTTATTTTATATTATAATATTAATATATTCGAATAAAATTCCGAAAGTCCTCGGTGATCGGATCAACATGAAATTTTAAAAAAGTGCAAGGAAGAAAGGAAGAATCCCAGATATAAAATTTTAGCTTTGGTAATTATTAGTTCCTACGATATTAATAAAACTCTCTCGGTATGATACATTGAATTCTACCTATACAAACGTTGTTGATACAAATCATTTTCGCTTCATTAGAATACTATAGTTACACCAATTATGGTTGGCTAATTGCCAACCAATTGCCAATTGGTGATTAGATCGTTGACGACTACTAGATCCAATAGAATGCATTCCATAGAATATAAAAGTCGCGTCGGTCAGTATTTTGAAGAAAAAACTCAGCGATCGCTGATCACCGCGATAAATGAGATATATTGAATTAAATGCGAGCGTTCGTAAGGTGGCCAACTTTCTGGCAGACCAGACACCTATTAAGAAATTATAATGAATTTTGATCGTTGAGTTTGATTATCAAACTTGATCGCCGGATTTTGGTTTCTCGTTGATCAAGTCGTCAGCAACTAGTCGACAATGTGTGAATCATCATCAGTTGTCACTATAGTAGCCATCGCTGTTAACTGTCAAATAGTCGAGAATGTAATTAATAGAGTTGCCAACTGTCGAGTCGCAATAATGGACACTACAAAATATATTAATTCCTTTTTTATTATTATTGTAAATTATTGGAATACAACTTTAGAATTAATATTCAGGAAAACGAACAATTTCTTAAAACTTCGAAAACAGTTTTAGTAATTTAGGTATAATATATCGACTCATTGAACACAAAAGATGCATTATTAGAATAATCATTAGAATTCAAAATTTAAAAAATGTTAATTCAAAAATGTAGAAAAATTTAAAAAAATATTTGAAACTTTTATATTTTATATTTTAAAACTAAAACTAAAATAAACTATTAATTTTTAAAATTATGTTTTTTCTGATTCGACATAACACTAAAAATTCTTTCACAATATGCTGATATTGCAGGAATTGAAAGCACATACGAAACTATTTTAAAAATATTCATACATTTATAATCGGCACTTTTTAAAACCATGTGCCATTTCCTACTTGATATTTTGGATCTTGTAAAATGTTCAGAACTTTGAATAGAGTCAAAGAGATTTTTAATTTCGAAATAAAGGACATTTGGCATTTTTTCTAAACTCAAAAAAAAAAAACAAGGACAGGAAAGCCTGATTAAAGGATTATCATTCTCAAAAAAGGACGATTGGCCTTAGTAATTAATGACGATGTCATTATGTTGAATATTCATCCCTTCGAAATTCCGTTTTATTATTACCATACTTAATAATTATAATTTATTTACATGTTCGCTTTCCGTTTTTGGATTGTGATTTAAATTTTGTTTATGAGAAATTTAACAAGTAATAACGATTCTATCAAAAAATGTAATTTCGATATATATTTCAAAATACATAGTATTGTTTTTGAATATGTATATTTAAAATATATAGTATAATTTTTAAATATATTTTTAACATTTTTACGATTTTTAAAAAGATAAAATAGTAACAGAAGCTTCAAGATATTTTAAAAGATATTTTTAAGATTTTTTAAAAGATAAAATAGTAACAGAAGTTTCAAGTGGAAATATCTTGTATATATTTTGGCAAAAGTTGAATATAAATTAATTTTGTTAGCACGAAGAGAAACAAAATTAAAAAATGTAAGCAGAAATTAAATTAGTTATTACTTTTATTAATTATTCCCATATTTTCGCTTAAATTTAATAACTAATTTATAAATTTGAGAAGTTCCGACATCAGAGTGTTAGTTTTAGACATTGGTGATTTAAATAAACATAAATCAGTACTTGATAATATCATTGCTAAAGTTGGTGAAGTAAATATATATTGAATGCTTCCTTATTATGATAATGTATTATAACGCATTTTAATTATATTTTAATTAATTATAAATTGATTAATTATAATTTTAGTTGAGTATATTTGTAAATAATGCGGACGGGGGTGATTTCAACGAGAATTTTAAGAAAATATTGACATATCTGTTGACAATGAAATGTTTGATAGAAAAATATTTTTTCAAGAGGAATGCAGGTTATTTTATAATTACTTCTAACATTGTTGGTGTCATAATATTCTCCTACGTATTGCAAATAAATTTGTATTAAATGTAACATATTAATTATAAATATTATTATTAATTTGTTCACATATGTAAATATCAATAAATGAATATTTGTTATATAAACATAGGGTCATAAAATTTTTGTTTCAGAAAAATCAAAAAATCAAACGTAACAATTATAATGGTATGTTCAAAACCAATATATACTAATTTTTTAACAAAACTATTCATAAGCAAAATAGCGAAATATAATGTAATTTAGTAATATCTATAATTCTTTTTTATATATCTCTATGAAGAAAATGTGAAAAAAGATACAAAAACTAAAATGAACATGTAGAACATTATGCTACACTGAATTGCAATAGCAAACAAATTTTGTGAGGTATCTCATCCAAATGTTGGATTGTGGTATGTTATTTGGATATTTTATAAAATTATACATATTTTACAAAATTATTTTATATTTTAGAATAAACTTTATGTTGCAATTAGGAAATAATGAAACAACTATTTAAAGAAAAACAATGGATATATATCTTTTTTTTATATCACAGTATGTAATAATATACTTATGGTATTCACACTCATTATGGATTAAAAATAAAATATTATATTTTATTTTTGACAAGTATATTATCTCTTTCATCTCATTTTTATTAAAAATCATTAATTTATGACTAAAATTATTAATTTATTTATAAATTATAATTATAAATAAAATATATTATTCATAAATTTTATAAATAATAAAATCTATATGTGAAAGACAAGAATAGCATGAATATAAGATGCAATTAATTGTAAAATTAGCTGAAGATATTGATGAATATAGAAAAAAACAAAAAACTAACTTGCAAAGAACTGAAAGTGTTAGTTCAAAGATTAAAAATATATCTAACAATAAAAAATTACTATTACATGTTGAGTGTAAAATAGATATTTCCTTTAAATTAATTTCTTAATTTTAAAATTAATATTTTAGGAAAAATTATTTCAACATTTACTAATACAGTTAAAACATCAAAATAATCACTAACAATAAGTATAAAATTAACTTATAACTCAGAATGTAACACAGTATCTTACAAAAAAAAATTTAATGATATTGTAATGAACAATTAATATGGCAGATGAAAATTTAGAATAGGAATTGACAAAAAAGACTCTTAGTACGAATATTTTTCCTTTTATCGGATATTTTATTTATCTTAGTACGGATATTTCCTTTTTATTATTTTTTTCTTTTTCTTTTATAGTGAATGCAATATTTTTATCAATTCAAAATTATTGGTGGAAGCATTCATCTTTGAATTATAAAGAACTACAGAAGCACTATTATAGAATTAAAGAAAAAAGAAATTATTATATACATAAAATTGTCACTAAAGCTTCACTTTAATATTTAGAGTAGTACTACATAAAAGATGTTAATGCAACTGCAGCAAGAATAATTAAAGGTACATCAAAGGATCAACAAGAAAAAATATATTACAATATGCAATATAATATACAAATTTATTTATAATATTCTTACACCCACTATACATTAAATTCTATATTTTTTGCAAGTATATCATCCCTATACTTTTTTCCTCTCATTATTGCTTCTTTAAATAATTTACAATACAACTCTATACTACAAAATGTATCATCATTTCCAGGAATAGGATACGTTATAAGTCTGGGATCGCAATTTGTATCTACAATAGCAATTGTTGGAATACACATTTTAGCTGCATGATTCACTGCCATATGTGGTTCAACAACAGAGTACATAGTATTCAAAAATATACACAAATCCGGCAATCTGGTAATACTTCCAAATTCACACGTGGCATTTGTAAATGTTCCATGTTTCCACCGTCTTGTATGAGCATATTCTTGACATTCTTTTGCAGTGGTTTCCACAAGATAAGAAATTTGAGGATTTTTTGCTATAAACAAAATTATTCCACTCCTGGAAGCTATATGAGCTGTGAAATTTAATGCTTGCCGTAATAATTCAGCAGTTAGATCTAAATCAAATATTAAGTGTCCTAATCTGGATCCAAATAGAAAAGGTTTCATATACTCATTTAAAGAACCTTCCTTGTGACCAAAATGTACTCTTGCATCAAACAGGTCTTTGACAGTAAACATATCATAAACATTAAAAAAGTCTGGATGGCTCAATGGATCTATATCTTTTAGATTATCTATGTTTGAAGCTGAAATATAAATTTATATTCATTCAATAAGAAAATAAAAAGTACACAAGATATAAAAATATTTACCTTCTTTAACTTTTTGTTGCAATTCAGGTTTTGTAAATAATTTACGCTTCCGGGAATATGTGAATAATGGTAGCAGAATACTGCAGTCTCTAGACACTACAAAAGACATTTTATTGTTGCTTTATGTTTGCAATATATCTTTAGTAAATATCGGCAAAGAAACGAATAGAATATTTACGTTTAGATGAAAATGTTCGTGTGATGATAGAAACCATTATAAATATTTTTAGTTTTCTATATAATTGATTGATAAGATAATTTATTGTAACTAAAAACAATCTTATTTGAATTCCTTTTACATAACAGGTTAGGAAGTTTTACTGCCATTAAAATTAAATACAAAGTTTGTTGGCTAGAACAGGAATATCAAACTAGCGACGCAATGTGGCGATTGGCGGTAGTACTTCATAATCGCGAACTAACTGTAGCTCGCATTGTCCCATCTATTTTATTCTGTTTCTTCTTTCTTCTCCGGATGATATACATTGAATAAGTCCTATTATTACACGTTACTTTGCCAGTGAATGAAAACTATGGATGAAAATAAGAAAAAAATGTCGTATAAAGATATGTTCAAAACTTTCATTAGGGAACTATAACGAAAATTCAAAATAACAGTACTAAGTTTTCCCTTGGAAACAACATGAGAACAGATCGACAATATTTATCTAATTTGTTTATATAATAATTGTAATACTATAACTAAACTGTTTCAATGACTGAAGATTTTCAAAACGAAAGAATGTACGACACAAATTATTTTTAGTAGAAAATTTATATTGATTAGCTTCTGAACCCTCATGTGCTCTTAGTTGTATTTGATATTATTTCATTTTTATTAATGTAAGTATTGTGACTGCATAACATGTTGGAAATGGATTGGATATCCATTAATATTTTTGTAGTTGTATCTGTATCAATCAACACAATGAATCATTCATTAATGTCGAGTAATATTTTGATTTTATATCTAGTAAGTCGAAAAGTGATAGCCCGACTTTTTTAAAAAAAGTTATTTCATCTAAAGTACAATCAATAAAATATCTAAAAATATATATATTTGTGAAAGTGTTTATAAATAATCATAAATTTACGAAATAAAAGAAATATGATATACAAAAGGTCACCTCACTCGAATTGTCCGAGTCAGATGGTTCAAAATACATGTTGACCCAAAAATAGATATTCTGAGTTCAATTTTTAATTTATTATTCAATTGTAGGCCTGTTTCATTCATATTAAATATATTTCTCGTTTTGTTTAAGAGATTTTCTCGTACGGTCAAACAGCTGAAAATATAGGTTAACTTTTACCCTATTCATACTTGGGCACCAACCAAAGAAATATCTTCTGATTTTCGAACACTGAAAAAATTGTATGCTCTTTTAAAAACATATTTAGCCAATCATATTCAGATAATTCTTTTTTCTTATTAAATTCATGATTTATCCTCAATTTTTGAGTCAAGTTAAAATAAAAATTTAGCTTCTAATAATCCATTTATTACTATTTAATGGTTTTAGTAATATTTCTTAATGGTAACATTGCATTCGCTAATCGAGGTTCCTATAATCTTTCGTTAATTTTTGCTAAAAGATTTTAGTAACTAGTCGTTCTTCACATATATGTAGGTATCGTTGAATCACGCATTTCCTTCACTTTGCACTATTCCCACGCCTTGTCGACACTAATAAGATATTCCCACACTACCGGATCTCTACTCAGGTACCCAAAACTTGTGCAATGTATATCAGGGCATAACAACATAAACTTATTGTTCATAAATTAATATTTCTAAACAGATAATTAAATTAAAGAAATAGTACATATAACAATAGTATGTATAATAATATCGAGTTAGAGAATATCGAATGAGTTATACAATAATTATACTTTATTAGCGTTTCTGTCTATATAATTCATTTCTTTTATGTCGTTTTTCATTATCGTAGTATTTATTACTGAAAATATAAATATTTTCCATTTGTCGTAGTGTAGATTGATAATTGAATCAATAACGATGAAAGATTGTTAAAATTTCATAAAATTACATAATCATCACTTGATCTCGTTTTAAATTGTTTTTATAGCTAAAAAATATTTAAATTGTTATAATATTACTATAAAATTTTCATAATAGAATGAAAGAAATATTTTGAAAGAAAACTTATCAATTTGAATTTACAAAATTTTATTTTTGTTTTGTAAATTTTTTATTACAACAGGGAGCTTGTCATTACTGTCCTCATCAAAATCTACATAAAATTTCAAGTAAACTTCATTAGAATGAGTATCAAAGTTTTTGTTCAGTCGACTCCTTCAAAATATATCATATATAAAATTGATTCTTTTTCTCTTCGTTAATCCAAGTTACATTCCTCTGTCACTTTATAATAATAATCTTTATAATATTTTTATATTTATACATATAACCCTGTTACACTCAGGATCACTTTATTTCAGTAAACTTTACGAAAAATTGAAAATATTATGTATGTAATATATTCTAATTTTTCTATTAAATAAAATATTTTCGAAATTTCTTTTGTTTTCATTTTTTTCACTTAATCTGAAAAAATTGAGAAAAAAAATATCACCACTTCTGCTTTTCCGAGCCGAAAAAAAATTACCCTTGATGAAAAGGGTATTTCTTCCAACTGTTTCGTATCTGCTCTTGTTGTTTTTTTGCACAACTTAACTAAACTATATTTAACTTACTATATCATAATTTTTATGCTGTTCACGATTTGTCTTATATGTAATGACACGTGTAAGTTTCTTTGATGATACATGCCACAACTGATGATCCATCCTTGATAACATTGCTTTCTTTAGTAGCACAGCGTTACATCTTTTATCCTTCTCTATTAATCTTTTTATTATCTAAATTATATGAATTATATGAATATGATCTACAGTCATTACAATCATGTTTTTTTTTTTTTTTCAGAAAATTTCATCGAGGTAGCAATTTGTGTCACTTCGTCAAAATCTAAATCATTGAATCTTCTGTCTTTAAAAAATATATTCGTGCGTATTTTGTTTATCAATTGATTTCTCAAGGCCGTCTTTGAAAGAATTTTCAAAATTTTATGTACTCTTGTCTTTCGTTTGCTTCCGCAAATGAAAATGGTAATTTTCTACAGTTTCTAAAACGGTGCATGTGTAGGTGTAGGCGTGTGAAAGTTTTTCAATTTTGCAGTAAGATCTACATATGTTTTTATAGGATTAGTTGAAGACCCTTTGTCACAGATCTTGTCAGGAATGCAACATAATCCTGATAATTTTAATATTTTAAAAATTATTATTGAATCCTCGAATTGTTTCAGCCATTTTGTCTAATATACGCAGTAATCACAGATTAGTATATTACAGTTCAATGCAACGTAACTATCTTACAACACTTACAACTCCTGGACCTAATGTTTCTCATAATAGAAAATGTATATAGAGCACAAAACGGATATGTGACGCTTGAAACCTTCAATCCTTGTATCTAAGCTGTCTGCCTGCATTCACTTCTCATGCGTTTACGATTAAATACCAGAAACACTATGTACGTGCATTGCACTTTCTTCAATAACTCCTCGTCATCAAATTGTTATGTATGAGAGAGCAATGCAATGCGATACAATGAGAGGAAATGCAATTGGCATTTCAGAACCAGCTTCATTTCTAACATGGTCAAAATGATAATGGCTGCTCAACAATCATCGCGGAAGTGTTCCTACTTTTCGTTTTTTTTGCTTGTCTTTTTATTTCTTGCTTACTCTCTCTCTTTCTCTCTAAAGGCTATAGTTGAAAATCGCGTGTAAGTAAACACACATCAGTATAGTTTATAGGAAATTTCATTTTAATACAATCAAGATCCGAAACACTAGGGATCACATCAGATTTCCTTCGACTCTTGCGGTGATTACGCATATGCTAAGTTTCGATTATCAATTACGAAAGAAGGTTTAGAGAAACATATATTAAACTAGAGAAAAATATGCCTCGCAAGATTGTAAATTTTTTTTACTGATCGTACACGAATAATACTCCAGAGAATCTTTGCAGAAAAATTGAACTGAGACATATTATACAGATTGGTTCAAAGTCTACAATCGAATTGACAACTGATCTTTCTATTACTATTTACTGTTTCTATATTTCTTAACACGTCCCGTGCCAAGCCATTTTTGCCTTTTGTTGTCGTTCAGGCCAT